ACGAATTATTTTGGTTAAACTATATATATCAAGAGCGATACTTGCTTTTGCTGCAAGTTTTGCTAAATATTCAACACCTCCACAATCTGTAAATGCCTGATTGTTCTCAAAAAACATCTTTAAGCTCAGCTCATTAGCAACAATCCCATGTTTTCTAGTCTTAGATATTTGAGTAAAGATACTCTGATGCAGTGGATCGTAAAAACTTTCTGCTGTGATCATATCTTCCACCGCATCACATATTCTATTATCGCGAATCATAGCTCCTATGAGCATCTGTTCAGCCTCAAGATTATGTGGAAGTTTACATATCTCTTCGTCTAAATTTGATAAGTTAGCTAACTTATTCATGTAGTATTTTTAAATCTGTGTATAATTATATATGTGTATCTCTAAAAAAGGCCAGTCCGATTTTTACAGCAAGTTTGTGTTGACATTGCATATGATATTCCCTACAATTGAAGTTGATAATCAGATTTATATTTATCATGTTTGCGGTAATTGAAACAGGAGGAAAACAATTCCTGGTCAAAAAAGGTAGTATAATAAAGGTAGAAAAGCTAGAAGCTGAAAAAGGGAAAGAAGTAGAAATCAAAAAAGTGGTTTGTCTTTCAAATGATGGGTTAACCTATTCACCTAATATTACTGTTAAAGCTGAGGTGTTGGAGCAGCGTAGAGGAGAAAAGGTTATAATCTTTAAAAAGAAAAGAAGAAAGAATTACCGTAGAAAGACAGGTCATAGACAGTATATAACTGTTCTTCGTATCAATGAGATTGGATAAGAGGTATAGGATATGGCAACTAAAAAATCAGGTGGTAGTTCCTGTAATGGTCGAGATTCCATTGGCCGTAGATTAGGAATTAAGAAAAATGGAAAAGTCATTCCTGGAAATATAATTATTCGCCAGAGGGGTACAAAATTTCATCCTGGAAAAAACGTTGGTATGGGTAAAGATCATACAATTTTCGCTAAAATAGAAGGTTGGGTTAGCTTTAGAAGGTCAGCAAACAAGAAAACTTTTATTGACGTAACTCCTATTGAGATTTCAGCTTAACATAGGGGCCTGTAGCTCAGGTGGTTAGAGCGCACGTCTGATAAGCGTGAGGTCGGAAGTTCAACTCTTCCTGGGCCCATATCTCTAGGTTAAATTTAGCATCGACTTCCAGTCGTTAACTAAGACGTTGTTATATGGTATATTATTAAATTACAAAGATTATCGTTAATAATTTAACTGCGTTATGTTTAACTCTTTACTAGTATTTGATATCGAAACTGTACCAGATGTTAATTCTTGCAAAAATTTGCTTGATATTAGCGATAAAAGTAACGTTCATGAGAGAAGAGATGCTTTGACAAAATATCATCTTGAGATCACAAATGGACAAAATGATTTCTTACGCCAGCCATTTCATCAAGTTGTAGTAATCAGCTTTTTACTTTGCAGTATTAGCTATCAAAGTGGCTATGAAGTCTTTAAATTGGAGGAAATTAGATCTGGCGGAACACCACAGTCTAGCGAAAAAGATTTGGTAAAGGGTTTTTTTAACTATATAGCAGAGAAGAAGCCTCGATTAGTTTCATTTAATGGGCGCACTTTTGATATTCCTGTATTGAAATACAGAGCTATGGTGCACGGCATCCAAGCAGAATATTTTCATAAGGCTGGAGATAAGTGGAATAGCTATAATCAAAGATACAGTAGTGATTGGCATTGTGATTTGTTAGAATCTCTCTCTGACTTTGGAGCTTCTGCAAGGATCAAAATGAATGAAGTTTGTGCAGCATTTAATCTGCCTGGTAAAATTGGCGTTGATGGATCACAGGTTATGGATTTGTATGACAATGGTAAGATACAAGAGATAAGAGACTACTGTGAAACAGATGTAGCAAACACTTACCTAATTTACCTAAGATTTATGCATCATCAAGGTAGAATAACCACTGAAAGTTATAACAGAAGTGTAGAGGAGTTACTTGCAGAATGTGAAGGGAAAGAACATCTGCAAGAGTTCAAGCAAGAGTGGGAAATAACTTGTAAGGGTAGCTTTTATCTATAATGGTTACTAAATGGTTTATTTAAATGTTTTAAAAGTTCGATAAAATACTTAAGTACTAGATTTTTTCTTTCTGTATGTTACTCATGTTAACGTGAACGTAAAGATAGCACTATGGCAAGAGTTGGATTTTCTTTGACAAGCCTTCTTGGCCACAGCAATAATATTAATATGCAGAAGAGTAAAAGAAAGAAACATTCTAAATTATTAGATAAAGCACTTGGGTGCATTGACAAAGTAACAAACTTTATTTTAAAACGCGAAGGCAAACACACAAACGAAGTCTTACGAGTGACATGGGGACCGCTATTTTTTGGTTTGATAGTGATATTCATTTTTTTCGGTATAGGCGGTATTTGGTCAGTTGTAGCTCCAATTGACGGAGCAGTGCATGCAAGCGGAGAAGTTATAGTATCATCCAATAGAAAGATAGTTCAGCATTTAGGTGGTGGAATAATAAGTAAAATCTTAGTGAAAGAAGGCCAAGCCGTTAAGAAGGATGAACCCTTGGTGTTATTAAATGACGTAAATGAGAAAGCAAATCTCAGTATAATTAAAGAAAAGCTTTTATCATTTTTAGCAACAGAAGCTAGGCTGATTGCAATAAGAGGAAATTTACCAACCCTCGAACTTTCTGATGAGATTAAGCAATTGTCTAGCAAGGAAATTGTTAATAAAGTAATGAAAAATCAAATTAAGCTATTTAATTCTCAAAGAAAGAGCGTATTGGGAAAGATAGGCATACTACAACAACGCATAAAACAATTAAATGATGAATTAGTAGGTTTAAGTTCTCAGTTAGAAGCAGCCGATAAACAAAGTACTTTAATAAATGAAGAGTTAGAAATGAAAAGGCAGTTGCTTGAAGGTGGCCATATAGGTAGACCACACATTCTAATTTTAGAAAAACAGTTCGCTGAAATTGAAGGCAGGGTTGGCCATTTGCGATCTGCAATATCTCAAGTGCAGCAAAAAATTGGAGAAAATGAACTAGAAATTATCAATACAAAAAACGACTATCAAGAAAGAGCTAATGCTGAGCTCAAAGAAGTTAGTACATCTATAGCTGATCTAAAAGAGAGGCTAATGGTTGCTGAAGATGGGTTAGCACGTACTGTTATTAAATCACCACAAGATGGGGTGGTTACAGATATAAAGTATCATACAGAAGGTGGTGTAATACAGTCTGGTGTACCAATCATGAGCGTAGTGCCTTCAGACGATGACTTGGTAATAAACGCAAAAATTCAAACCAGGAACATAGAAGAAATATTGTCAGCACAGAAAACGAGTAAGAATATAATATCAGCCGGCGGATTAAAAGGGTTAAAAGTTAAAGTGCGGTTGAGTGCTTATAGTGCTCGTCGTTTGGGCTTAATCAATGGTATAGTAAGTCACATTTCCCCAGATGCTCTTGATGACCCAAGATTAGGACGTTATTACTCAGTGCGTGTAGTAATACCGCAGCAAGAAATAGAGCAATTCAAAAATGTATATTTATACCCTGGAATGCCTGCAGAAGTATACATAGTTACCCAATCACGTACTTTCTTCTCAATATTGTTTACTCCTATTATTGCAGCATTTGATAAGTCATTTATTGAAAGATGATATGATATAGTTATTGATTCTTGCATGAAAGGTAAATATAAAGCCCGGCACTTACTGGAATAGTAAGCAAATACACTATACCCAAAGCAGGTAGTGTTAACCATGGTTTACTTATAAAAAATATAATAAGTATTCCAAGAGATGAAAGAAATATATAAGATAAATTCTTGGGAATATAAATATGTTTTGCAGAAAAGGTAGGAATATGACTTACTGACAAAAATGAAACTATTAAAAAATAACAAGCTGTGTTTCTCATATTAAAAAGCTGTTCCATAAACAATAAATCCTGAGACTGAAAAGTAACTACCACTGGTAATACAGAAAGTAAAGCGCATAAGGGAGCAGGTACACCAAAAAAGAAAAGTTTTTCCCAATCCCGTTGCTCCAAATGCAATAAGATATTAAACCTTGCAAGCCTAATTGCCATGCAGATCATATATATCATTACTAACATCCATCCTATAACTTGAATTTCTTGTAGCTTCCAAAAATATAGAAGAAATGCAGGCGCTGCACCGAAATTAAAGAAATCTGCAAAGGAGTCAAGTTGAGCACCAAAATCGCTAGTTGATTTTAGAATTCTTGCTATTCTACCATCCATTCCGTCTAAAACTGCAGCAATAATGATAAATACCACTGCAAATTCCCATTGTTCATTAAATGTAAACTTGAGAGAAGTAAGGCCTGAACATAGGCCTAGTAAAGTCACAAAATTTGGGAATAGTTTTGCAATAGGAAGTAACTTATTGTTACCGTCATCACTACTCATACAATATCAAATGTTAGTTTTTCGTGAATATTATCGTTTTCAATCAAATTTGCTATAACTGTTTCACCGCCAATAACCGTTTGTCCTTTTGATACTTTAACTGCTATACCAGAGGGAATGAAAATATTAACCCTGCTGCCAAACCTTATAATACCAAATCTCTCACCTGCTTTTACATTCTGAGATACTTCTAAGTTACAAACGATACGCCGTGCAATAAAACCCGCTATTTGCTCTACAATGATTTCTTTTCCTTCCTGATACTCAATTACAATCACTTGTTTCTCATTTTCATTACTGGATCTATTGTTCATTGCAGATACAAACTTACCCTTTTTGTAATTCATTCCTTTGACCATACCAGATATTGGCACACGATTTACATGAACATTTAAAACGCTGAGAAATATACTTACACATGTAAATTTCTTCTCCTCTTTGCTGTCTTCCGACAGAGAATAGCTAACCTCTTCAATTGATGAAATCACACCATCAGCAGGGCTAAGAATAAGATCCTTATTATTTGGCACAGCCCTTGCTGGATCACGAAAAAAGTAGGTGCACAACAGCGTTGGAAATAAACACGTTACACCAAGACCCCAAGAAATAGAAAAAGCTATACATGATACTATAAAAGAAATGATTATAAATGGATAACCTTCCTTATTTATGTTAGGTAAATTAAAGCACATAACCTTATTATAAATGACTTATGATAAAATTTACCAGTTGTGACTTCCCATGAAAAGCTTTTTTTGCAATTTCTTAAAGTTGACCTTAATCGTCAGTGTTATAAATACTTTTTTCCTTTTCTATTCTTTCTTGCTCCTCAATGCAATATACAGCAAGTGGGTTAGCTTTGAGCCTTTCTATTCCTATTTCTTCTCCTGTTCCATCACAATAACCATAGGTTCCAAGTTTTATCTTCTCCAACGCTTCTTTGATTCTTTCTTTTTTCTCCTTTCGACGCTTAATTAATTTTTCATTTTCACCATCTCCGATAGAACCATATTTGCTCTCTTCCAATTCTTGTTCTTCTAGCTCATCCAGCATCGATTGTAGCTTTACGTTGAAATACTCTAAGTGCTTTATACTCATATATTCTTCATTTTCTGAAGGAGTGTAATCTTCTTGTAGCATCACTCTTAACAACTCTCCGTTCATAATTACCTCAATTAAATAATAAAATTTTCATATAATCTTATGAAACAAGACTATAATATACAACAGTAAACACTATAATTAATAATAAACATTTAAAAGTATAGCATGTTTAACCTATTAATAAGGAAAGTTACTGATTTTACCCATACTATATTCCTTTTTATGATAATGCTTAGTTTATCTTTATTTGCACTTGACAATCACTATGAACAAGAAGTTGTATTAACAATAATATGGATATGCACTGCTTTTACTTTGCAAATTTCTACAAGTTATTTATTTGCATCTGATTATCATGATGGTGTTTTAGAACAAATTTTTATACAACCACGTTCCTCCAGGCTTGCAGTCTTTTATAAAATCTTCTTTCATTGGTTGCTGCTTGGAATACCAATCTCAGCAATTGCCTGCATATTCAGCATTACAGTGCTGGATTACAACATAAAATACGTAATTACAATGGGGTTATCTTTATTGTTTAATATACTAATAATAATTAATATATCAGCCACCGGACACTCATTAATGCTCGGAAAAAGCAATTTAGCAGCGACAACATCACAAATTCTAATTTTACCGATGCTAATGCCTACTTTTGTATATTTTAAATTACTGACAAGCACTGAATTAAATATCAATATATTGTTGATCACTGCTCTAATCTTTATCACTTTGATAGCTAACAGCCTCTTAGCTACCCATACAGCACTAAAATTTGCTATAGAGCAAGACTAACAAAACTATTTGCCAATAAGCAAAATTGTTCAATAGTTAAATTTTCTGGACGTTCATTTCCACTTAATTGAGCGTTTTTAAGCACAATTTCTACATTATTGACCACACTCTTTAAGCTGGTTCTCAGCATCTTTCTTCTTTGAGAAAAAACAGTGTGTGCTAATTTTGCTAAAGCTGCTCGATCCACTAAAAATCTCTCGGTAGGCAAAGGTTTGATAGTAACTACCGAAGAATATACTTTTGGTTTTGGAAAAAATTCCTGAGGGGAGAGATGAAATTCAACTTTTACGTCGCACAGTAGCTGAGTTATTATTGATAAATAACCATAATTTTTAGAATTAGGTTGTGCTACAATTCTTTCTGCAACTTCTTTTTGGAACATTAACGTTAAGCTAGTAAAAAATTTTATATTATTCAGCCATTTGATAAGTAATGGTACAGAGATATTGTAAGGTAAATTAGCAATTACTTTAACTGGAAGCTCTACCAATTTTTCTTCTACGATATCGAGAGCATCCGCTTCTATGATTTTATACCTGTTGCTGAGTAATTGACTGTGTTGTTTTATTAAATTACTATCTTTCTCCACAGCTAATAGACATTTTGGATTACGTTTCAGTATTTCTCTTGTCAACGCACCATGACCAGGACCAATTTCAATAACGTTAAAATTTCCCAAGTCACCTGATAAGTCAACTATTTTTCTTACTGTTTCACTTGATAAAATAAAATTTTGCCCCAGGCTTTTTTTTGGCTTTGAGAAAATGTGCTCCATATTTTTTAAAAACTAGTTGACTATAATTTATCAGCAATTGTATATTATTAATACATTTAATGCCGGCTTAGCTCAATTGGTAGAGCAACTGACTTGTAATCAGTAGGTTGTCAGTTCAAGTCCGACAGCCGGCACTCGTTATCGTGTAAATTAATGTCTTTTTTGATCATAGCAAATTGGAAGATGAATGGGACGCGCTCCTCATTTATTGACTTTATAAATAAACTTAATAAAAAAAGCCATGGAATCGCTGTAAAGCTGGTTATCTGTCCACCTTTTACATCATTTCCAGATAAAATAGAACTAAGCGATAATATCAATATAGGAGCACAGAATTGTCATCATAAAAAATCAGGTTCTTACACAGGAGAAATCAGTGCAGAAATGTTGAAAGAGCTAGGTTGCAGTTATGTTATACTTGGGCACTCTGAAAGGAATAATGAGACAGATAATGAAATAAAACTTAAGGCTGAAGCTGCATTGGAAGTAGGCCTACATCCTATTATTTGTGTCGGTGAAAAACTAGAGGATCAAAAAAGTGGCAGAGCAAATGAGGTGATAGAGCATCAATGCAAAAATAGATTACCAGTGCATGGTGAGTATACAATAGCATATGAACCCATATGGGCTATAGGTTCAGGTTATGTACCAAATAGTGATCTGATTGCTGAAATAATAAAAACCATAAAGTTATGTACAGATAACAGGAATGTTGTATATGGTGGTTCGGTTAGCTCAGCAAACATAGAAGACTTGCTGAGTGTTTCTATTTTATCAGGAGTGTTGATCGGCAGTGCAAGCTTGGATTTTGATCATTTTTACGCGATCATACAAAAAGTGAATCGTCACCCAAGAAGAGAAGATATATCTCCTTCTATATAACCATCTATTACATATTTACTATTACTGCAGTTATGGTATGAATCTACAGGTAGTAAATGGAGATAGAAAATTCCTACTTGATTATTGTTATCATCTGTTATTCCACCACATAGCGAATGAATTCCTGTATCCTCATAAAAAGAATATGCTGCGATTTCGAAGTGTTTATCAAGTAAATGTACACCCTCGAATATTGCATAATTTGAGTTTGCAGAATTGTAATCAATAAAATCTATTTCGTTCATATATGCCTCACATATTAATGATTCCTTAATAATAACAAAATTGAAATATTAAAATCAAGTGAATATTAAAAGCTTTTTATGAATTCAGATCCATAACAACTTTAACGTGGCGTTTTTTACCTGCAGATAACTTTATAAATGGCTTATCCTTGAAATCTTTAGAATCCACTACGTAATCTACACTACAAATAGTACTATCACTAATTTTGCACCCATTAGCTTGAATTAAGCGCTTTGCCGCGTTCTTAGATGACTCTAGCCCAGTAATACATAACAAGTCCACCAAAGTTATACCATTAGCGACCTGCTTTTTGCTTAATGTGTAATCTTGCAACAGCGAACTGTCTTCATTTTCAAAAGCTGAGACTGCTGCTGATCTTGCATATTCTGCTTCTGCGTTGCCATGACAGATCTTTGTTACTTCAGTTGCTAGAATTTTCTTTGCTTCGTTTATTTCTTGGCCCTTTAAAGACTCCAACTTCTTAATCTCACTTTCTGGTAACTCCGTAAATAGTCTCAAAAAGCGACCTACATCCTGATCATCAACATTGCGGAAGTACTGCCAATAATCATAAGGTGAGAGCATATCGCCATCAAGCCAGACAGCCCCACTTTCAGTTTTACCCATCTTTTTTCCTTGAGAATTCAATAAGAGCGGCGTAGTAAGACCAAAAAATTCAGGCAAGTTTAATTTTTTACCAAGCTCAATACCGCTAACAATATTTCCCCATTGATCAGAGCCTCCTATCTGCAAGCGGCATCCATATTTCTTGTTTAACTCAACAAAATCATACGCTTGTAACAACATGTAATTAAACTCCAAAAAGCTTAAGTTTTGCTCTCTTTCTAATCTACTTTTTACGCTGTCAAAGCTTAACATACGGTTCACAGAAAAATGCGCTCCCACGTCACGTAAAAAATCCACATACCCTAATTCATCTAACCAATCGGCATTGTTAACCATAATCGCATCTATAGCGTCACTACCAAAAGATATGTACTTTTTTAATACTTTTTGAATACCACATATATTTTGATTAATCTCTTCCATGGCCAGAACCCTTCTTGCCTTATCTTTACCGGAAGGGTCCCCAATTTTAGTTGTACCTCCACCTAGCAAAGCTATTGGTTTATATCCAAATTTCTGCAGATGGCGAAGTAGCATAATTTGAACTAGGCTGCCTATATGGAGACTTGTGGCAGTACAGTCAAAGCCTATGTAAGCAACTATATAATTCTCTTCACATAGAAGCTGATCTAATCCTGTGATATTTGTACACTGGTATAGATATCCTTTTTCTTGGATGAAATTCAAAAAATCAGACTTGTATTTCATAAAAACCTTGCTTAACTAATACAAATTAACAATTCCATAGCTCCTCTATTTTGTAATATTCCCTCACTTCTGGTCGAAAGATATGAACAATTATATCCTGAAAGCTAAGTACTACCCAATCACCATTATCCATTCCTTCAACATTTATTTTGTCATACTGTTTAAGTTCTTTCATTACATGTCCGGCCAAAGCTTTTACATGACGACTTGAATCACCAGAAACAATAATCATATGCCTTGCAATAACAGTCCTATTATGCATATTAAGAGTAACTATATCATGACCTTTATTTTGATCTAGTATACTTTCGATAGTGTTTTTTGTTGACTCCATATAATATTTTTGAATCTAATAACATTATTATACATTTTAATTTTTAAATATGAACTATTTACTGTCACCTGAAACTACCATTATTATTATATTTTTAGCATGACAATTGTATACAATTACAATTTTGTGTATATAATAAAATTATAATTTATTATTAATATTAATATTATGAATAAAAATCTTATCTATTTAATCGGCTTTCCAGGTAGCGGCAAATTTACTGTAGCAAAAGAGCTATGTAAAATTATTGATGCGGTGATAGTACAAAATAACATGTTCAATGACATTATATTTAATATAGTCAATTTAAAAGGTAACAATGTGCCAGATAATTTATGGAACAGTATTTTTAAAGTTAGAGAAAACTTATTGGCAATATTGGGAAAGTATCATAGCAAGTCAAAGCATTACATCTTCACCAACGAGCTGATAGAAGGGGATTGTTATGATCGTAAGATATACGACTCAGTAGTAAATTTAAGTAACAGCATGCAGGTGAAAATGTTACCTGTAGTGCTGCATTGTAGCGACATAGGAGAATTAATGAAACGTATTCAATTTGAGGAAAGACGCCAATATAACAAAATTACCAATTTGTATTATGCTATGGAAAGAACAAGAGAAAAGAAACTATTCATACCTCCTAATGCCCTTGAGATTGATAACTCAAACTTAAGTGCGGAAAAAGTTGCAAAAAGAATCATTGAGGAAATGGAAAAAATGTCTAAGAATTAAATGTTTAGTATGGCTTCTATAACAGATAAAATGATTGAATCAGCAAATAAATATCGTCCATGCGTTGGAATAATGTTATTTAACAAGAAGGGAGATATCTTCACAGGAAAGCGTTTTGATAGCAATACGTATTGGCAAATGCCTCAGGGAGGAATTGATGATGGTGAAAAACTGGAACAAGCAGCACTGCGTGAGCTGCTAGAAGAAGTAGGCACAAACAAAATAGAAATAATAGCCAAAAGTAAAGATTGGATATCTTATGACTTGCCAGAAGAAATGGTACCAGAGCACTGGAATGGTCAATATTCAGGACAAAAGCAGATATGGTTTTTAATGAAATTTCTTGGGGATGATCAAGATATTAATATTAACTACAGTGACCACCCAGAATTTAAAGAATGGTGTTGGCAAAGTGTAAATAATATTATAGCCAATGCTATACCATTTAAAAAGGCAGTGTATGAAGCAGTTATAGATGAATTTTATCCTATAATAGAGATTTTAAAAATAGTAAGTTAAATGATAGTAGACTCTCACTGCCATCTTATTTATTTTACAGACAGTGAAATACCGGAAGTCATTTCAAGAGCAGAGAAAAATAGAGTAAAGGCTTTTCACAATATATGTTTAAGCCTCGATAACGTTCCAAAATTATTACAAATTTCTTCATCTTATAACGCAGTTTATTCATCAGTTGGAATACATCCGCTTGATAGTAGTATAGAAAATGGTGAATGCGTAGATGCAAACACATTAGTTGAGTTGACCAAACATAAAAAGGTTATTAGCATAGGTGAAACTGGATTAGATTTTTATAAATCTGATAACAAGGTAAACCAAAAGAGAAATTTTATATCGCATATAGAGGCTGCAAGAACAACACAATTGCCTTTAGTGATCCATACCAGAAATGCTGACAGCGATATAATTGATATATTAAAATCAGAAATAAAACTTGGTAATTTTGGTGGAGTGATGCACTGCTTTGCTTCATCTAAAGAGCTTGCCTATCAGGCAATAGATCTAGGGTTTTACATTTCGTTCTCTGGAATAATCACTTTTAAAAACACTAGCTTCCTAAGAGAGATTGCTCAAAGCTTACCAAAAGACCGAGTCTTAGTTGAAACTGATTCGCCTTACCTATCTCCTGAGCCATATAGAGGCAAAAAAAATGAACCAGCAATGGTAAAGCACGTTGTTGACTGTCTAGCACAACTATGGAATACACAGCTAGAAGAGGCTGCAAATATTACTACAGATAATTTCTTTAGGCTTTTTCATAACACACCCAAAGATGAGCGATTATAAAAAGTAGCATATGAGTTGGCTAACATTAAATCTATTTATAAATTAAGGTGTTTGTATTTGAAAAAGTAAAGGAATATAATATATTGAGTGTAATGGGTTATTAAGAAAAAATGACGATACGTGTAGGAATTAATGGTCTTGGCAGAATAGGCCGTAGTGTGTTACGTGCTATCTTTGAAATAGAAAAGTATAGCAAACAAATAGAATTGGTGGCTGTAAATGGGTCGCTAAGTGCGGCTCATCATGCACATTTAATCAAGTATGACTCTGTCCATGGCAGATTTAATGGTAATGTTGATTTCAACGAATCTGAAAATTGGCTATCAATAAACGGTAAGCGATTTTCTCTATATAAAGAACGTAACCCTGAAAATATTCCCTGGGATGTTGATGTAGTATTGGAATGCACTGGCGCATTTAATAAACATGCAGATGCTGCAAAACACAACACAAAAAAAGTGATAATCTCTGCTCCAGTTACAGATAGTGATGTAACAATAGTTTACGGTGTGAATAACCATATGCTCAAAAAAGAGCATAGAGTGATATCGGCTGGATCGTGCACGACAAATTGTTTAGCTCCTGTAGTACAAATCATGCACTCCAATGTTGGTATCAAAAGCGGTTTCGTGACCACTATACATGCTTACACGAATGATCAGAATATTCTTGATGGTAACCACAAGGACTTACGCAGAGCTAGAGCTTGTGCACTATCTATGGTTCCCACTACAACCGGGGCAGCAAAAACCATTGGATCCGTTATTCCAGAGCTGAAAGGCAAGCTTGATGGCACTGCAATCAGAGTTCCAACAGCTAATGTCTCTATGGTTGATCTCACGTTCGTAGGCAACAAAGAAGTGACAGTTAAAGAAATAAACGATATATTTAAAAGTACAGCATGCGGTGTGCTTTCTGTATGCGAGGAGCCCTTAGTCTCAATAGATTTTGTACATAATCCATATAGTGCAATCGTGGACTTAAACAGCACGTATGTTACAGGTGAGATATGCAGAATTGCTGCATGGTACGATAATGAATGGGCTTTTTCGTGTCGAATGTTAGATATAGCGTTACTATTATATGACACAGATCTCTTTTTATGAACACTTTGCAGAATTACGAAGGAGAATAATCTTTTGCTTTCTATTTTTTTGTGTAGCTTTTGGTTTATGTTATTATTTTAAGGAAAACATATATCGTTTCTTACTTTCACCTTTAATAGAAGCTACAAAAGATAGTAAAGAATTTTCCCTGATCTATACAGACTTAACTGAGGCATTTTTTGTATACCTTAGGGTTGCAATTATGAGTGCATTCTTGCTTTCATCTCCATTCTTTATCTGGCAGTTTTATATGTTTTTAGCTCCTGGCTTGTATAAGAACGAAAAAGCAGTGCTAGTGCCATATTTAATTGCAACACC